ATTTCTCCACTGAATTTTGGAAAAGGCTTCGGTACATCCAGGCGAACCCAACCGGGCCTACTTCCACACCGCAGAAAGGGCAAGCTGTGTTTTGCCCCATGGCGTATGCGTACGAATTTGTTGAGCACCTTGACGTGTTTTATGTTAGGGAGTAGTCACCAAGGGATAAACTTGGAAGCAGTAGTCACACTGTTGGGGGAAGGCGACTCGTGGGACACTACGCCACAAAGAGATGCTATTCGAAGGATGATCCTTTAGTGCAAGAAAAAAAAAATAACTCTTTCCACTATATCTATAGAAATGGCGAGTGTTCCGGGTCTCCCCTGTTCTGCTTCTCGTTAAATGTGCTCCCAGCGGGACTCCCCAGAAAGCAGTGCCTGAATTTTTACAATCCTAAGGTGTACATACCTAAGGTACCAAGTCGGAAGTAGGCACTAGATGATATAGCACCGTAGTCCCATGGTAGAAGAGAGTTCCCAACGTAGTTATAGGGGGGCTCCACCTGCGCCGCCTTCCCCACATCTTACTGTAGACCCACTTTTTCTTATTTTAACCTCTTCATATACATGTACGCATGTGTAGAATTGCAGCAGGCAGTGGGGGGCAGTCACAGCAAAAAATAGAGGGACAAAATTGGCGGAAGGTACCATTTGACTAAATTCCTTTTTGAACAGTTACCATTTCGCGAGCGCGGCCTCTAGTGCACCTATTTTTTGACATCCCACGGAGATCCGTAGAGAAATTGCAGACGTGCCCATGTAGCGAACCAGATGTAGGTCGGGAAAAACAAAATTATCAAGTGAAGAAAACAAACCCGAAATTAATATGACTTGTGAGTAGAAAGGAAATAGCAGGTAATTGTAAAAATTGCCTAAAATTTGTTAAGATTTGCTTAAAAGGCGCATAAAGCCTTCTGGGGAAGGGCCTTTTTTCCCACTTGGTTTGTTCCCGATTTTACGGAATGGAATAGGAGGCAAATCTGTTGAATGTGCGTAATGATAGCGAGCGCGCTGGTCAACAATGAAACGAAACAGCAAAATTGGGAGAGGGGAGGCGGCAAAGAAAAAAATAATAATAAAAAATAGGGAAAAAAAAATAAAATAAAAATAAAATAGATAGCAAAGAGCTTGTCACAAACCGGCGAGGACACAAACTTTATGGCAAAAAAAATGCCAGGGACTGGAGATAGTTTTACGAGAACGCACATTTTTACCAAAGCGTCACAGACGCTGAAAAGGAAATAAAAAAGCGACATGTGTGCTTGAAAATATAAGCACGAATGTACACATGCGTGTATGTCCCATTTCCCCTATTTACATATTTATACTTGAACGGACGTGACACTCTCCTGAGCAACACGGGATAAGGGATCCATGCGCTCGTTCACCATCGCCCATGGGTTAGTTCCTTTACGCGTGTAGACTGCTATAAGGAAGCAATACACCTGCACACACATAAGCAGATGAACTTGTTGAAGGGCGGTACAAATAAACTCACAAGGACGCACAAAAAAAGCCAAGTGACACTAATTTTTCTGAGCAATGCCAGGCAGTGCCAACGGATAACAACACATCACGGAAGCGAAGCCGCATTTGTCTCCCCGTCTGGGATCCAACCCGCTCTACAGACAGGTGAGAACAAGATTCTCAAACCATGGAGCGGAAGAAGGCGCAGGAGATTATTGACGGGATACAGGCAACTGACCCCAAGACGAGACTGAAACACATGAAGGAGATAAAAACCTTATGCGAAATTTTAGGAATGGAAAAAACAAAAAATGAACTCATCGAATTTTTGTACAACATAATAGAAGAGGATTTAGATGTCCTCTTCGAATTGTCCAATAATTTAGTTACCGTAATAGATTTTTTAAGTGATGTAAATGATTGTAGTTCCTTATGTGACTTAATACTCCATTTCATTGTGACGTACGAAAAGGAAATTAATGTGAACGCTTTTCTTGCCTTTAATAATTATCTACACAAATGTGACTGTAGCACACTCATAAATATTATATGCCCTAAGACGATGAAGCTGGTTAGTAGCGATAGTGATAACTACCGAATCGGAGTTAGCAAAGTTATTCCAATAATAATCGAGAGGTGCATACAGGAAGGACAAGCTAAATATATGAAGACATTCATCCAGATGTTTTTAGAATTGTGTCAAGATCAAAGCATACTGGTGAAGAAATCCTGCTGTGAAACTTTCTGTTCCTTCATTTTTATTTTAAAAAGGTATAAGGAACTTAGCCAGAATTGTACGTACGCTTCAGCGAAAGGGGAAGAAGAGAAAGGGAAGGCACTTTCTGGGGATGAAACTTCTGGGAGGGCCCATGGATATGCACTCCAAACTGGTGCGAATAATGAGGCAGATTGGAAAGGGGGGACACTCAGTGGGGATAGGAAAGCACAGCTGGAAGGTCAACTAGAAAAGAGGGAAGAAGTGAATGGTGTGATGAGTACTCATAGAACCGCAGCAAGCGGAACAAGTGGACACACGCCAAATGGGGACGAAAAGAAAGAGAGAAAAAACATCGAACAGGAAATTATCACCCTCAAAACGAATGAAAAACGAAAAATATTTGTAGAGAAACTGTGGGAAGGAGCGAAAGAAATATATAGAAGTTTTTTTTCCCCCATCAATGGAATGGACGAAGTACAAATAAGCGCATTATCCATATTAGCAGATATCCTAACATGTGATCCACACTTTGTGAAAAATTTAGAAGAAACGTTGAGGAACATATGTAATGACGAAAGCTGGAGAGTAAGAGCTGTTTTAGCAAATAACGTTCATAGAATTTTAAAAGTACGAAAGAGTGAAGACATATCTATAGTCATTCTCTTACTGCTGAAAGACGTAGACAGCAATGTGCGTAGCATTGTGCTAAATAATCTGGACAATATTTTAGTGCATTCAAAAATTAGTGTCAACATAGTGGATGAAATTTTTGATGATTTGAAAAGAGACATTGATAGTAATAATGTGCATTTAAAAATTTCCCTGTGTAAATTGTTATGTTCCTTGCCAGACATATTGGACAAAAATGGATCTATAGAATATATCCTTCCATTATTTCTGTTATTCATAAGGATAGAGGAAAGTGATTTGAAATCCGATCTGTTCACTTGTTTGCACAAAATTTCGAAACTTATTTCCTTTTTTGATATGAAACAAATTATTATGCCACTGTGTCAAGAAATTGTTAAAAGTAAGAATTGGAGATTACGGTGTACATTATATTATTACTTAAAATTTTTTGATCACTTTTTTTTTTATCAAAATAAGGAGAATTTTTCTTCAAATTATGGCGATTTCTGGAGCTTTATAAATATCGGGGCTAAAGACATGGTTTATTCCATCCGAATGGAAGTTCTAGACACGCTTCACTTTTTAATCAAGACCAAGAGTTTCTCCTTTTTTGAAAAAGGAATTACTTACCTGTTAAGTGACCTTAAAGAATCTAGTAAGCACATCTGCAGAATTACGTGTCTGCAATACATTTCCAGACTTGTCGTTTATTTCCCCCTGCACTATATCGAGAACAAGGTCCTAGTCATTTTGGAAGATCTAAACACTGACAAGATAAGTAACGTTCGCTATAACATAGTTAAGACCATTTATTATGTGAAGAATTACGTCAAGTATGTCTTGTCTGTCATAATGAGTGACACGTACGACACACTTATGAGTAAAATCACCAAAATGGTGGAAAGGAGGAACAGGGAGAATGAGGAAAGTGGAAAAGTTCCTGCCAGCCAAGGGACCCAAGTGGCTACCTCCAATGCAGGGGTGAATGTAGATAAACATTCCGCTTTAGGCACAAACGCACACGCAGAAACGGATGACGAATGCGAACATGATATGCAGAATGTAATGTCTACTAAGGGGAGTGGAAACGATGCTAGCTACTTTCACCTCTTGGAGTGTAAGCAGTGCCTCCTAAAAGATCAGATTAAGAGGAAGAAGTATTCCTTTTTAATCAACTCATGTGCAGTTTCGTCCCTTAGCTTTTACGACAATATGAAAAATACAGACTCGAATAGGCGCTGCTGTGAGCGCATTCTGAGTTTCCTCTCGGATAAGATTAATTCACTGGGGGCCGACAAGGACGCGGACGTGTCTACAGCATCCAAATCTTTGAAGAACGATGATTTCTTTTACTACGTAAGTTCCGTAAACACGTTCAGTACGGTCTGCAGGCCGATCAAATGAAGTCGCGAAACGTTGAAGCGGGGAGCGGTAAGCAGTAAGCGGTAAAGGGTGAAATCATGAAAGGGCGAAATCGTGAAAGGGCGAAATCGTGAAAGGGTGAAGTCGTGAAGTCGCTTTGTGTGCATTTGCGCGTTTGTGTGTATATTTCACGGCGCAGGCTTTTTCCCTCTTCCGCGCCGTGGCCCTTTTTATTTTAGTGATAATTCCTTCCGCATATCTGTGCATGAATGCACATAAATTATGCCATATTAATTCCTTCCCTTTCCTTTTTTTTATTTTCGAGCACGCACAAATTGGTATTGTTCCTGCGCGTGCATATACATGTGAGTAGCCATTTTTTAATTTTTTCGTAACTTCAAGAAATCGCATTGTTCAAATATTAGCCCCAAGCTGGGGCGTAGATGCGTGATCTATGGACGACGGTGTGGCGGTAGGCGGCACCAGCCCGTGGGACGCTCCAAGGGAGACTGCTCCTATTTGTAAACATAAATCGGTGGGCACGCCTCTCCGACATGTTAATGACCGTTGGTCGGCATGAAGCTCGGGAAAAGTGAATACTGTTGTGGGGAACAAAATTGAAAATGTCAAGTGTCGCGTACTGCATGGAGGGGAGGCGTGCTATACACATATACACGAAGGGGAAGGGGGGATGAACTACAATGGTGCCTCATTTGACAAGAGGGAGTTACAAAAAAAGGGGGGGAGAGGCGTCTTATCCCTATTTGCTGCGTCCCGTTGCGACATTTGATTTACCCCTCATTTTTGGTGCATTAGTTTGGGGCCTACGCCTCGAACAAGGCGTACAGCAAAACGTTGCAAATGTAGAGGGACTGGTCACTTGGCAGCTTCTTCTGCTTAATGACATTCTTGAATATGAAGAAGTAGGGCATCAAGTCGAGAATATTTTGAGCATGATATACAAACTTAACATGCGCATTAATTTTTTGGTAGTAAATTTTTCTCGATATTAAAGAGGGGGCCATTTGAAAGGGGATACAATTTATAATGTCTTTAAGAAGCAAAAGGATTGTTTCTTTCGCCAAGGAAATTGCGCCCGTGTCATTTTCCAACGATTCTATGTAGGAATCTAATTTGAGCAAATTATTTGTCTCTTCTTGCATCAAATCCTCCGTAAGGGTGGAGTCTTTTCCATTTGCTACAACATCCTTTGAATTTTTCGTTTTTTTATAATATAGGGAATCTTTTTTCGCCTTCACTTGGTTCGTCTGTCTTGTTTTCTTCCTATTCTTATCATCAGTCTCGTCAGCATTTATCACTTGATCCTTGGAAATTTCGCTATTTTGGAATTCACTGTGGGGAGACAGTGTCTCGATATTTCCATTGCAGATGGCTACTTCGTTGGAGCAGTCACTTCGGAGGTCACTTCTGATGTTACTTATGACGTTATTTATGACGTTACTTCTGACCATCGTTTTGTTATTATCTTCATCGTGTGGGAGGTAATGTTGCATTTTCTCCATCTGGTTAGCGAAGGAATTTTGGGATCCTTCCTCACGGGGGTTATTTTTTCGTCCATTTTCAGTAATATGATGCTCCTTCTTTGGAGATCGTTTGAGCTGTTCGACATCGGGCCATTCCATTTGTAGCCAGTTCATCTCTTTCTCCTTCTCTCGCGAACAGTCGGCATTTCCGCCACAGATGTTTGTGCCAACCGCATTGGTAAAATATTTTCCATCCATTCTGTTTTGCAAACAGGAAGGAATAATTTTCCTTCTATCAGTCATATCATTTCGGGTTGTTTGCAAGTCATTTTTCGAGGGGTACTTCTTATGGGGGAAAATATGTCCTAGCTGTGAGGGCTGGCTCAGCGATGTGCCGCTAGTATACATGGTTAAATTTTCCCTTGCAAATTTTTCCGTCTGGTAAAATTCTCCAAATCGGCTTAACCATTTGTCGTTCCATACCGCGTCGGGGTTATCCACCAAGTAGGCAAAGTTGGGGTTATGTCTCGATTTGATTCGCTGGCTATCTGCGTCGTAGTTAAATTCGGCTCCCGCTCCTGCAATTGCTTCTGCAATCGCTTCTGCACTCGTTTCTAGGCTCGCCTCTTCATTGACGCCCTCCATGAAGAACATGTTGGCCCCTGCAAGGCTCCCGTTGCTTCCTAGACCAGTCGATCGAACTGCAGAGTTGAAGTAAAGCTTTCTCTTCAAGGAGCTATTCTGAATCAGTTGCATCAAGAAATCGTAATTTTTTTCATTTAGAAAATAGTCTAGGTATAAATGTTTATGTTCTATGGTTAAGATGCATGCATAGACGAATCCAAAAACGGTGCAGTCAAATTCTTTGAAATATAACAAGGTGTTTGTCTTCTTTTCGAAAATTTTAATCACCCATCTTTTTTTGTCTCTCTCATAGAATATGTTTTCCTTCGGTAGGTTCTGCATTTTGTCCACCAAATCGTTGGAGAATTCTACGCCTAGAGTTTTGTACAGAACGGCTCTCGTCTTCGAGGTGAGGCTACTATGGGGGAAGTACTCTCCATAGGTGTCTCCAGTTTGAGTAACAGTACTTGCGTTTTGAACCTCATCAGGGAAGGATTTCTCTTTTATGTTACTTTTGGAAATTTCTCCAACCCAAGTGTGTACTTCCTTTTCTGCGTTTATTATGTTGTAACTTGGGAAGTCAGCTTTCCCTATGCCACTAACTGCACGGTTTGTATGAGTGCCTTCATGTGATGAAGACGTAGAAGTGCTGGGGGGAGTCTGAATACTTAACGGATTAATCGTGTCATTTAAATTTGTTTCTCTAATGTCGGAGGGGCTTTTGTTTATACTGTAAAAAAGGCGTCGCTTCTCATCGATGCCATTGTGGTAGTGATTTATTTCTTCTGCTTCTTCACCTTCTGGTTGTAGTTCTTTCGGGTCGTCCTTCTGTTTGCACCTCTCTATTGGTTTCATCCCTGGTTCTTTGGTAGTACAGCCATATGTAGTGCTAGTGTTGTGGCCATACTCGTTCAAGAGCTTGGCGAGAGGGTTCTTTCCTTGGTCTGCGCTCACCCTTTGGTTGGTGTTTGCCCCGTGTGGGGCTGCCCCGTTTGGATCTCGCCCGTTTTGAGTTCCCCCGTTTGGAGCCCTTCCACCTGTTGCATACCCACTGATGGAGACAAAGAACGTTCTCTCCTCATCATCAAGGTTACTAAAAATGTTATACTTCTTCCTTATGTAGTTGTACCTATGTTGTAGTGTCATCTGCCTGGACTGATGATAAGAATAGCTCTGTGTAGACAAAAACTTCCTACTCATATTTGTCATTTTATCCGCATCGTCATAATTGTATAACCACTTTTGTCTACCAGAATCGTAGTAAACCCCTCCCACAGGAATTATTATGGATTCTAATTCTTCTTCACTGTATAAGTTTCCGATTCTTTCTTTCTCTAGAAGGTTTATAATATCATGTAGATTCAGATGCACATTGTCCAACTGTTTTTCCTTCAACAGGTTGGAATAATTTGCAGCATTCGTATATATGCTGTTAAAATGATGGTCACTTGCTTCGCCTCCTTTATATGTAGCGCTAAAGTTCTGTTCCTTGAAGGGGCTACTTCTGCATGCACTGTTATCTACGTTTATAAGTTGTGTCGATTGGGGGCATACTATACCATTCAGTAGTATATCATTATGGTAGCTATTCCTATCGTTATGTTGCTTCCTTTTTCTCTTTGCCATCTCTTCCCCGTTGATTTTCTCATCCATTTCATTATTTGTGAGTCTAATAAAATCCCACCCCTCCGCTTCATCATATTCTTCTGTATTGCCACCCTTGCTGATGTGTTTGTACTTATACTTTTCTGTACTATTGCAGGGGCTATTCTCAACGTAGGACAGCACTTCACCTTCTTTTTTCGTATTGCTGCTACTGATTTGGATATGCGTTCCGTTCAATAATTTATCCCTTAGGTAAGCATTTTGTAGGCTTTTCAATATGTACGCATTGTAGCTATTATTTTTGTACAATTCTGGGGGGTTGTTTTTATATATATTTAAATTGAGTAAAGAGTAGTCTTCTATTCTTAATTTTTTTTTTAAACTGTAATCTACATCTGAGTTTATGCTTCTTTTCAGATTGGCTATTTTGTTTCCCTCTTCTTCGATTATGTCCTTTTTATTTTCTTCATCAGCATGCTGTGCTTGGCTGTTCCCAACGAGATTAATTATTTTGCCATGGACGGGGAAAGAACTACTAGGAACTGCACTTCTCCTACTAACGTTGCTGCTTTTATCATGCACGGTATGATTGATTAGGGGAACCCCGTCCTTCAGTGGAGTTATATTTGGACAATCTCTGTTTTTCTGAACATTGCACGAAGCATGTTCCTTCTTCTCGTACTCAGTTAGGTTGGACTTATTCCTATTTACGTCATTGAATAAACTTCCGTTCGACATGGATGAAGAAGAATCCATGTACACACTCATGCTATTGACCGCACTGTTGGTGGTAGACTTGGGCAGCGTAATCTTCTCACATAACTCCCTCTCCTCGTCATTGCACATACTGAATAAAAATTTGGTGCTCTTCGGGGAACTGTTGTTGTGCGTACTTTCGTTGAAATCGGAGCAGGTGTTATTAGTACTTTCGGTAATTGTATCATCTGTTAACTTTTTGTACAAATGGTGATTTAATTGGTTTCTCAGGTGTTCCATTTGGTCTTCCCGCGGGTCATCCCTGGGTTCGCTTTCATGTTCTCCCGTCTGCTCGATTCCCTGCTCTGCGATTACTTTCTCAATATGCGCTTCTACTGCATCTCCATTGGGCAAACGGATTTGATTATTACAATCTAGGCTTCCACCTCCAAACGTGGGGTCCTGTTTCTTTCCCGCACTCGTGTGGAAAATTGTCGATATTTTCTCCTTCACATGATTAATCGCTTTTCTGGATGACATGTTTTTCTTCACTAGTTCGCGACTGGCTAGGTTTTCCAAATTGAGGAGGACTTCCCCATCCTTGTTCTTCACCCCCTTGGAACCTTTACATATGTCGCGAATTAAGTTGTACATTGAAATGTCTGCTTGGAGGTTCTTTTTATCGTATTCCTCATCCTTTAAATTTTTTGGCTTCTTACATTCTTCCGCTCCGATTGGTACTAACGGCATATCATCAGCTATGTGTGCTATGTCTCTTGTTTGGCTTCCTTTTGGCGGGCTTCCTTGGGTCTTCTGTTGGTCCCTGGCACTTCCGTCGGCGTGCTGAGTAACACTACTAACCTTGCTGCTACGATCGCTAACATGGTCGGCACTGCGGCCACTAGAATGCTCGCTACCACGCCCACTGCTACGATCACTACTACGTCCAATGCTAAGTCCACTGCTAGTTTCACTCCTATGTCCACTTTTGCCCTCCGTGGACTCATCCTTATTCTCATCATGTGGCATATTCGCCAAACCCGAAATTAAATAGCTCTTCTTACTTATGAGCATTTCTCCAAACCCAGTCCCATTCATTTTAAGGGGATTTTCAGTTTCGTCTCCTCCTAACAGCACATCCTTGTGTTTTCCTACCAAGGGATACTTTTCTTCGATGATTAAAGAGGACTCATCCTGACAAACTGTATAAACATTTGCAATGTTCATATTTTTTTTCTTTTCCTTTTTTGCCTTGGCACCTTCCCAGATATTTTTTTCGTCTAGAAGCTCATTAGATGGAGTGTATGCATCTGGATCCTCTTCTTCTGCGTTGTCAGAGAGCTGGCCCCAATTCGAGGTGTCCTCATGGATGTCATTATTTGGAACCGAATTGGAACCCATAATGTTTCTCAAGGAGCAGCTTTTACTTTTATTTTTCTCCATTGATTTTATTTTATTATTCCCTGTGAATTTTTGGTGAGTTGAGATTTTCACTATGCGTCCGTTCGGTCCACTTCGGTTTTCACTTCCTACTTCGTTTCTCATTTCAGTTCCGACTTCACGCTCGACTTCGCGTCCGACTGCACTTCCGATTGCACTTCCGACTTCACTTCCACCACTACTTCCGTTGCGGCCTCTCCCTTCACCATTACTTCTTGCCGGTATTTGTTCATCAGGGAAAAGCATGGAGCTTTTTTCCCTGGCGTGACCCAGACTCGCAGACAAATGTGACTGTTTCGTCGCTTTCATCTTTCCCCTAGTACTTATTTTTTTATTTTTTTCTTCGGAAGGTCCATCCGTTTTTACCCTTTTCAAGGGTAGCACGCCACCATTGGATATTCCACTTTTAAGCTGTCTAATGGCTCTAATTCTGCTAATATTAACAAAATGGTTGTTATTGCAGCACTTGGTGTTGCACCTAGTGAATACACGAGGTCCGTTTATCCCTTCGACTGTTGCAGGTTTTTTTTTATTTTGCGTGTTGTTATCTGTCTTGGTGATTTTTTTGTTTTGCGTTAATTTTAAGGTCTCGTATCTTTCTATTGACAAATTTGGAAAGTGGCAGCATTTGCAGTTCATTTTGTGTGCAAATAAAAAAAAAAAAAAGGTGCATATAAGAGTGCAGTTGTGTGTGCAGTGGCGCGGACAATTTCTCACGAGGCGTGCGCCAGTTTCCTCTGCAGGTGCGCGTTTGTGCTTGCCTATATGTGTGAATATCAAAATAATGTATTTAGCTCTACTTACACGAAAAAAAGGACATAGGGTAGAGAGCGCAGGTACGGAGGTATAGTCGGTTACAGCGTGAAACTACTACATTTTTTTATTTAGCTTTCCTTTATTTAGCTCTTTTTTATTCCATTTTTGAAATTTGCCTACGCATAAATGTGCAAATTGTTCGCTAAAGACTCGTGGTTCCTTACTGTACAGGAAATGAGTAAATGGTCTCATAAGTCGTTTTTTCTTTCCTTCGTAATTATTTTTGCCGGTATTTCGCACGAAATACACAGTAGAATGAGGCTACACGCAGTGTTACATAAAATTGAGTAAAAAAAAAAAAAAAAAAAAGGAAACAAGAAAAAGGCAGAGGAAAAAAAAAATTTAATTAGAGTTCTTTTAACTATTGTGAAATAATCCCTATTTCACAAAAATGCTAAGTATAGAAATGGAAAATTGCAAGAATGCGTACATACGCTCGTATATCCATACATACGTACATATGAACAAAGGTCTTTCACAAAAACATGAAAAATAGGAGAATTCGCGTCAGCTGTCGGAAAAAAAAATGTATATATATGGGTTAATAAATTCAGGAGATA